TGTCTTCAAGGTTCATACATGTTGTACCATATATCAGTACTTCATTCTTTTTTATTGCTAAATAATATTCCATTATATGAATAGCCACATTTTATTCATTCATCAGTTACTGGACATTGAGTTGTTTCTACTTTTCAGCTGTTATGAATAATGCTGCTATGAACATTTGTATACAAGTTTTTGTGTGGATATAGGTTTTCAGTTCTCTTGGGTATATACCTAAGAGTGAAATTGCTGGGTCATATGGTAACTGTATGTTTAACATTTTGAGATATCCTAAACTGTTTTCCAGAGCAGCTACAACATTTTACATCCCCACCAACATTGAATGAAGTTTCCATCCATACACTTAATATCATTTGTCATTTAGATGATTTGTCATTTTGATTAGTCATTCTAGTGAGTGTGAAGTAAGATCTCTTTTTTTTCCTGTTCGTTTTTCTTTTTTATTGATTTATTGGAGTGACATTGGTCAATGAAATGATAGGTTTTAGGTGTACAATTCTATAACCCATCATCTGTACATTGTATTGTGTATAAAATCTTTTATTATTAAAATTTTCAAAACAGAAAGTAGAGAAAAGTAGTATGGGCACTCATGCACCCATAATTCAGTTTCAATAATTATCAACACCTCTTCAATCTTGTTAGTGGCTTTTTAAATACAGTTTTATTAAAGTATAGTTGATATACAATAAGCTGTACTGTACACATTTAAAGTTACACAATTTGTTGGTTTTTGACAGATATTCCCATAAAATTACCAACACAATCAAGGTGGTAAACATATCCATACCAAAAAAAAAAAAATGCCCTTTATAATCATTCCCTCCCACCTCTTCATGCTTCATCTCAAAGTAGTTACTGTTAAAAAAAAAAAACAAAAAACAAAAAACAACAACAGTCATTGTTACTACAGGTTAATTGCCTTTTCTAAAGTTATATGTAAATGGTATCATGTAAGTACTCTTTTGTTAGACTTCTTTCACTCAGCATAATTATTTTGAGATTCTTCCATGTTGTTGAGTGTATCAATAGTTTCTTTCATTTTACCACTGATAAATATTCATTATATGAATACTAGAGGCCTGGTGCACGAAACTCGTGCATGGAGGGGGGGATCCCTCAGCCCGCCTGCACCCTCTCGCAATCCGCAATCCGGGACCGCTGGCTCCTAACTACTCACTTGCCTGCCTGCCTGATCACCCCTAACCGCCTCTACCTGCCTGCCTGATCGCCCCTAAACCCTCTGCCTGCCTGCTGTTTGCCCCTAACCACTCTGCCTGCCTGATCACCCCTAATTGCTTGCCTGCCTGCCTAATTGTCCCTAACCACTCTGCATGACTGCCTGATCACCCCTAACTGCTTGCCTGCCTGCCTGATCGCTCCTAACCACCTCTGCCTTGGGCCCCGCCGCTGCAGCTTCATCCAGAAGGTCATTCTGCTGTCTGGTCTAATTAGCATATTATGCTTTTATTATTATAAATACCAGTATTTATTTGATTTATCCATTTGCCTGTTGATCAACATTTGGTTGTTTTCCTTTCTGGGGCTATTACAAATAAAGCTGCTTTAAATATATATGTATATATAGGTCTTTGTATAGACATATATTTCCTTTTCTTTGGGGTAAATATCTAGGAGTAGAATAACCAACCCCTATGGTAGGTTATCTGTTTAACTTCTTCAGAAACTGCCAAACCGTTTTGTGGGAAGCCGATCCACCCTTGCTGCTTGACACAGTTGCTGCGGGGGAAGAACAATCACGCTTAAGCTACATAATCTTTACTTAGGATAATCACCTTCAGTTACTTCCTTGTAGCTTTATAGAACAATAGAGTAACCTTGGAAATGGAGAGAAGAAACGCCCTAACCTTTGGAATAGAATTGATAGGATTAAAATCAACTGGTATAAATACAGATGTAACAAGACAATAGACACAGAACTTGGCTGGAGATCCTGGCTAGAGAACCTGGCTAGGCTGCTGATCAACTGAACGCTGTCTCTGTGTCATTCCTTCTTCACTGACTCTGTCCACACCTTTGGGAACCCCTGGACCTGCTGGGGTTGGACCCCAACACTGTTTGTGAAGTGCTTGTACCATTTTACATCCCCACCAATAATGTAAGAGAATTTCAATTGTTGTGCATCCTCACCAACGCTGGTATTGTCAGTCTTTTTCATCTCAGTCATTCTAATATATGCATGGTGATATCTCATTATGGTTTTATTTGACATTGACTTGACAGCTAATGATACCTTTTCATGGTTGTTTTTTTTTGGCCATTGCATATATTCTTTTCTGAAGTGTCAAATTTTTGTGGATATTTAATCAAATATTTGTTATATTATTTTATTCTATTCAGAATTGTTATACTATTTAAGTTGAATAGTAGCTAAATTTTCTAACTCACCAAATTAGGCTTCATGTAGACTTCCTTTTTAATCTCAAATGTCCAGATAAGATAGCTGATCATTAGTGACTCTGGGGTGCTATGTTAGGCTTATTTTTCTTTTAAAGGGAGGACTGTTCAATTCTGCACAGGTTATGCTAATTTTTGGAGATAAAATGTATCACCAGAAATATCTAGGAATTATCATCTCATAATCAGTACATTTTCTGCTGTATTTGTACTTAGGCAGGATTTTAGGCAGTGTAAAGAAAGAGAAGCAGGAATAGTACTGTCCCCCCTTCCCCCCCTAAAAAAAAGTCAAACAAGCAAACAAAAACTAGTATATGTACTCTTTTTTCTGAAACTTTTCTGTGCATCAATTTAATTCCCTCTCAGCTTTCACCTCCATTTCCTCCCTTAACCCTCCCACCAGTAGTTTGATAGAGAACAAACCAGAAGGCATCCTAGAATGCTTTCCCACCAATCAGAAGTAGCGGAATGAAATCCAAGTCCTACATAGAAGAGACAGAACTCTGTTCTCTCATTTTCCCTCATGCCCTGTATCTAAGAGTTTTATCTCATAGCCGAATTTCCAATTTCTAGTATTCCCAAACCATTTTATAAACATCCTTTTTTTTTTTAAGTCCTATAGTACTCTAGTCAGGTGAGTATGTGTGTTTATTTAATTTTGTTTGGGAGAAAACAATATACAGAAACTAATTAATCAGAACTATAGAAAATATATGAACATTTAGATCAGTCTACCCACCATGTATTCCTATCATACATCTCTACATACCTTACATTTTTAGCCATACAACAAAATCTTATATGTCAGCTCCTTTCTGCCCCCTCATTCCTCTTCTGAGAAAGATCAAGTTCCTTGTGAGTAGCCTAGGAGATATTTGATTATGTTCCTTTTTGGCATATAATGTCATGATATTTAACTTTTATACTGAATTAGGTTTTAATTTGTTTGGACTTCTGTGTTTTGTATTTTGTTTTGAAGCTCTCTTCAAGAACAAAGATATATTCAGAATAAAATAATAAAAATAAATTTCTTTTATCTTCTTTACAGAAAATCCCTTGTTGTCAACCTAATGAAGCATTCAAAGAAGACATCTGACTCCTTTCAAGATGAACTTGAAGATTATATCCAAGTGCAGAGAGCCAGAGGCTTAGAACCAAAGACTTGTTTCAGACAGATGAGAGAGGACTATTTGGAAACCTGTAGGGACAAAGAAGAGGTTCGTTTCAGACCGAGGTACAGGAGGTTTGATCAAAGACTCCCAACTGAAACCCTCCAGACCCACCCAAGGTCATGCAGTGTTTCACAAACAGTGGAAAACCAGTTACCTCAGTGGCTACCAGCTCATGACAGCATGAGATACTGTCAATTCACCAGGGACTGTTTCTCAGAAAAACCAGCACCCCTAAACCTTAGTCATCAAGAGTATAATTATAGCTCATACAGAGTCGAATCTAGAGTTTACAGGCACCTCTCAGAAAACAGTACCAGTGCCCATAAAGCCGGCCATGAACGGACACACCAGAGGAGAAAACGGCACCCGGAAGGAGGCAGAGGAAAATCGGAGGAGCAGCAGCCCGAGCATAAGAGGAAAAAAGGTGGTGAGGAAACAGATTTAGACAAACACAAGAGCTTCCAGAAAAGCAGCACAGAGGTAGAAACAGTCAGGATCAGCACAGAAAAGCTTAAGAATCAAAGGGAGAGAAAAAGACGAGATGTAGCCTCTAAGAAAGAGGATCGTAAGCGTAGAAAAGAGAAAAAGGAACAAGGCACAGAAAGGACAGAGGAGGAAATGCTTTGGGACCAATCTATCCTTGGATTTTGAAGCTCTTGAGTTGATTCTCCTGCAGTTAAACTGAAAAATCATTGAGGAGCTTGGTTTTATGATGTTCATGTTCATAGCACTTTTCTCATGGAAACAGGTACTTTCACTTCTAACAAAGGCCAAGTGAACAAAGTATTTAGGCCTTGCCGGGTAGCTCAGTTGGTTGGCGTGTGGTCCCAATAGGCCAAGCTTTCAGCTTCAATCCCTGGTCAGGGCACATACAAGAAGCAACCAATGAATGCACAAATAAGTGAAACAACGAATTGATGTTTCTCTCATTCTCTCTCTCTCAAATAAATAAATCTTTAAAGTATTTAGTATGCCTGATAACTCCAACATGGAAATTACTTTTCATTTTCCAGAAACTTCATTACATTTTTCTTACATATAATGTAATTTCCCTTAATGAGAGCAGCTTTGCTTTTATTCATCAAACTGCTATGATGATGGAAATATTTTTCTCTTGGGAAGTCATTTATTTTAAATTGGAGGATTAATAGGCTTTGTAGAATGTATTTCTTAATTGGTCTGTTTTAGTTTGGGGTGTGGTATTTTTATATTCACTAGTTTTCTCAAGTCAATTTACATTTTTTTCCTCTGCTAGATATATATTTTGTTTGGTTTTTTTTTGAAGCTCTTTGTATTTTATAGATTGAATAATGAATACATTAAAATAATCTTAGGTTACATATAGTTTTAAAAGTTTCAAAGAGTATACAAAATCCATGTATAATAAGTGTTTATAATAAAGTTCTAATTTCTACATTTGTCGTTCTGTATCAATGATCTGTTCCTGTGCGATGACGGTTTCCTTCTGGAAGAGTAATGACTGAGCAGGTTGTAAGTGAGGCGAGGTCTTTTGGGTAGGTCACACTACAGTTATAAAAATCCCTTGTCTGCTATACCTCGCTCATTCATGTTTAAAACCACTTTGTCCCTCTCCCTCAGTCCTCTTTCATGTAACCAGTCTCGCTACCTTTGCTGAGCTGCTGCCTTACTCAGCCTAACCACCTTACCTAGCCTTCTAAATCACACAGACACACACACACACACACGTACACGTCTGTGCCCACCATCCTCTGAATATTCTATACTCTGAGGCTGGTGACTCTCCTTCCCTTGGAGGCCAATGGTAAACCTGTTTCTTCCCCATGGTCCCTCCAGGAAGTCCTAGCCCCCCTGGAATCCGGCCAGCACCTATCTGCAGGGTGCCTCTATACACCACACCTCTTGGATTCTATCCCCACTCCTTAAAGGGGCAGGTTCAAACTTCAGACTTGGAAGGAGCCTGGACTAGGCTCCAGTGTAATCTCTGAGCTTCAGCATCCCTCCGTGTAAAATGGCCAGAGCAATGCAGTTTCCTTTATGGTGGCTGTGGAGATGAAATGTACAACAACGTTCAGTGCCTGCCAAACCAGGGCCACCTAACATCAGCTGTTACTATGAATTCTGGTCTCCAGGCAATCCGGGATACAGCTGGGTATCCGTCCTGCCTGTGAGGGTCGTCCTTTTATTTACCTACGCTCCTGGAGGAGCCAGCTCAGTTATTGACTGCCCCTGCCTCAACCATATCCAGGGGAGATAGCACGGTGGGGAGTTCTCCGCCCCTCCCTTCCTCCTAAGTCAGTGGTTCTCAACCTTGACTGCACATTAGAATCACCTGGGAATCTTTAAAATCCTGATTTCGGGGCCTCATCCTCCGGAAATTCTGTTTCTTATGGGGTGAGGCCACAACATTAGTAACAAAGAAACAGAATTTCCAAAGGATGAGGCCCAGAAATCAGGATTTTAAAAAGTCCCAGGTGATTCTAATGTGCAGCCAAGGTTGAGAACCACTGTCCTAAGTGATTAGTGCTATCACCTTGAGCAGGCAACTTCCTGCCTTGGCCCTGCTCCACCATCCTTCCAGTTCTTTCACATGCTTTCTTAGCATCTAGATTGCTCACAAAATACTAAGCACTGTGCCCAGCCTGAGGGCAGAACCATTCCAGCCTGCAGAGCTTGTCTGTCTGTCTATTATGCTGAGTGTTTATGCTGTGCCAGCACCACTGTAACTATATATATATATACACATATATATATACATATATCTATTTTACAGATATTACATAATATCTCCATATTACAGATGAGAAAGACTGAGCGACTAAGAAACGCACCTAAAATCATATAGTGTATAAGTACACTTTGGCTGCCTCATAAACCATCTAACAACTTACGATTTAAAACAGTAGACATTGCCCTAGCCAGTTTGGCTCTCTGGATAGAGCGCAGACCTGAGGACTGAAGAGTCCCAGGTTCGATTCCAGTCAAGTGCACATGCCTAGTTGTGGTCTCGATCCCCAGTAGGGGGCGTGCAGGAGGCAGCCAATCAATAATTCTCTCTCATCATTGATGTTTCTATTTCTTTCTCCCTTCCTATCTGAAATCAATAAAAATATATTTACAGCCCTAACCGGTTTGGCTCAATGGCTAGAGTGTCGGCCTGCGGACTGAAAGGTCCCAGGTTCAATTCCGGTCAAGGGCATGTACCTTGGTTGTGGGCACATCCCCAGTAGGAGGTGTGCAGGAAGCAGCTGATCGATGCATCTCTCATCGATGTTTCTAACTCTCTATCCCTCTCTCTTCCTCTGTAAAAAATCAATAAAATATATATTAAAAAATATATATATTTACAAATAAATAAACATAAAATGTTTATTTTTCACGATTTTGTGAGTTTTCTGGGTTGACTCAGTGGATATGGATGTCCAGGGGGCCTAGTATCTGGGGGTGGGGGTGGAAGGAGGAGTTCAACGTCAGCTGGGTGATGGGAACATGCCGCAAATCTCATTATTCCGAGGGGCTTGTACAAGGTGGCTGAGTTCCTGTGCTGCATGAGGGCAAGCACAGGCACTTTCCACATCTAGCTTGTACCACATTTGCTGTTGTCCCTTTGGCCAAAGCAGGGCATAAGGCCAAGCCCCACAGTATGTGAGGGGGCTGCCCAAGGAGGGGACACAGGGAGGGAGAATTACTGCTGCCATCTTCTCTGACAAACCTACCATATATAACTTATAAGTATACAACTGGAATTCAAAACCAAGTTGTCAGATTACAAAGTTCAAAACTGCTCGGCTGGTGTGGCTCAGTGGTTGAGCATCAACCCACGCACAAGAGATCACCGGTTCAATTCCTGATCAGGGCACATGCCTGGGTTTAGGGCTCAATTCCTGGGCGGAGGGCTGGGGGGTACGCAGGGGCGGGGGCGGTACAGGAGGCAGCCCATCCATGTTAATGTTTCTTTCTGATGGATGTTTTTGTCTCTCTCCCTTCTCTCTAAAAAATCAATACGAAAATATTTTTTTAAAAGTTCAAAGCTGTCTTGGAGTTACTGCCCAGGTCTGATAATCCAGAACACGCGATGTATTGCCAAACTAAGCCAGCATCCATTTGTACACACACCCACAACTGTTTTGCGTATTCTCATTAACAAACAATGTACAAAGTGAGTGAGAAATGTGTACCTTTGGCTTATAAATGCTCCATTGATTGGTTGTCTTCCGAAAGCACCCTGACTGGGGCCAGGGATAGAGCTTGCAACCGAAGTATGTGCCCTTGACCGGAATTGAACCCAAGACCCTTCAGTCCACGGGCCGGGCCAACACTCGAGCCAAACCAGCTCAGTCTCCTGAGTTATAATAAACTGGCAATCTAGTAAGTAAAACTATTACTGGGGAGACACAAAGACCTTGGTTCTTGAGGGAAAGATTTCAATCAAGAGACAAAGCATAGAAAAGCAAGCAAGAATGTATTGAACACAGCGAAATCATACTTAGGACTGTGAAACAAGGAAGGGCATAGAAGAAGCAACAGGAGAGCCTAGGCTGAGCTGCTCTGGGTGACTGGGAAATCAGAGAAAGGGGGGCCTTGGAGACAGGTCCAGGGAGTTAGCCTGGGATGAGCCGCCACTGCCCATTGCTCCCCTGGTTTTGAGTCTCATGGGTTCCCTTAAAGCAGCAGTTCTCAACCTGTGGGTCGTGACCCCTTTGGGGGTCGAACGACCCTTTCACAGGGGTCACCTAAGACATCGGAAAACACATATATAATTACATATTTTTTTGTGATTAATCAGTATGCTTTAATTATGTTCAGTTTGTAACTATGAAAATACATCCTGCATATCAGATATTTACATTATGATTCATAACTAGCAAAATTACAGTTATGAAGTAGCAACGAAAATAATTTTATGGTTGGGGGTCACCACAACCTGAGGAACTGTATTAAAGGGTCGCGGCATTAGGAAGGTTGAGAACCACTGCCTTAGAGGTTAGGGCAGTGGTCGGCAAACTGCAGCTCACGAGCCACATGCAGCTTTTTGGCCCCTTGAGTGTGGCCACAAAGTTTCAATCGCACTGTACATGCACACCCGCACGTGGTATTTTGTGGAAGAGCCACACTCAAGGGGCCGCAGTTTACCAACTACTGGGTTAGGGGACAGGTGCCTGTGGGGGAAGAAGAGTAGAAGGGAATGGCACAGGAGTGCTTGCTCCCTGGAGGGAGAGAGCGCCCTGGGACTTGTTTTCAGGTGTTTTAAAGGTTGGGTGTTTAGGGACGAATCAATAGCATATTCATCAGCTTCATGCTGATGTACCAAAATGAGATTTATTTTCTTAATTTGTCTGTCCTTGGGTGTGGTTAGCAATGGCACTGAATTGGATTTCTGTTATCTGCCTCGTTGAGTAGGGTGATTTAAGCTATTTACCCTGCAGTTGGGGAGGACAACTACCCTTAAGTGTCCCTGGTTTAGGAAAGATAGGATTTACTAGGTTACTGCAAACTGCTAGTTTCCCTGTTACACTTGTCCTGGAATTTTCCTAGCTTCTTACTATTTTATAAAGACCTATTATTAGCCCTATCCAGTTGGCTCAGTGGACAGAATGTTGGCATGCAGACTGAAGGGTCCCAGGTTCGATTCCAGTCAAGGGCACATGTCCAGGTTGCAGGTACCATCATCCCTGGTAGGGGGCATGTAGAAAGCAGCTGATCAATGGTTTTTCTCATCATTGATTTCTATCTCTATCTCCCTCTCTCTCCCTCTCTGAAATCAATAGTAAATAAATAATAAAGACCTATTATTAAACCCTAGTAATTAAGACAGAGGGATATTGGGTGTGATGCAAAGATACAACAGAACCCAGAAGCAGGACCATGAACAGGTGGGCATTTGATTAATAACAAAGATAGCACTTCAGAGCACTGAGGAAGACAGACTTTTCAATAAATATGGGAAAACAAAATTAGAATTAAATAAATAAATAAATAAGGGAAAACAAATGAAGTCGGATGTCTATGTGGGGGAGGAAAACTTTTCCTTCTACCCTTCTAGGTTCTTCAGCTGGTCTAATAATCAAATTAACATAAAACACATTAACAGTAGAAAAACAAATATTCTCTGCTAATCTAAATTTAGAAAAAGAACTCTCACCCCTCTCACTTCCACCAGACCGCACACAGACGGGTCCAGGAGACTGGCATGAGAATTCTTTCTGCAGGTGCTGGTCAGGCACCAGGACCGCTCTGCAGCCCTGGAGCAGCAGGACCCAGCCAGTGAAGCTTCCCAGCTGGCCCACCAAATTCCTAGGGGGAGAAACTTTTCCCTTCTTCCCTTCTGGGTTCTCTGGCTGGCCTAATAATTAAATTTGTCATGAGCAGTGGGAACAGAACCAGGTGTTTGACAGGTGGGGTCAGACCAAACCTGGGGTCAGCAACCTCGGTACTTGGGTTCTGGCTAGGAAAGAATTCAGAGCCAAGACCCAAACTGTAAGAGAACATTTATTGGGTAAATCACAGAGGTAGAAGAAGTAATTCCTAGAAGAAA